TTACCAAAGATGGACGAAGGATACTAGTTGCAGGAGTTCACGGCGGATCGCCTCCGTGGCTATGGTACATTCGAAATGAGGTGCTCGGTCGGCCTTTACTCAAGGATAATTCAGAGAGAGTCCAGAGAGATTTAGCCGTTTCGTCAAACTTTTTCCCTTTTTGGGCCAAGGGTTTCAGGTCATCTACAGCGGGGCTTCCCGAGAGATGAGCGGTGCATTTTGGATTTTCTCCTGAAAACATTCACAAAACAGAAAAATCAAATAAAGGCGGAGAAGCCTATAGAAGTAGCTAGGGAATTCTTCCAAGATGAGTTCAAAAAAAGAACTTACAAATTCGAACATATGCCAAGATGTGCGCTGGACCTTGTTGCTACCACTGAAGTACAAAGATGGTGTGATGGTACCCAGTACTACACCAAATGGATTTGCTGAAATCATTTTCCGATAAAAAATCAAGCTCCGTGCATAGGGAATCAGCCTGTAAAAGTCAGCATCGACCAGTCCTGCCGTATTAGGTCACATTGGGCCCCCTTCAGTGATACCAAAGCGTTGCCAAATGCATTTTCGCTATGGAAGGGACTGATCTACGCCAGAACTTCTGACCACCACAAAACCTACCAATAAATGTGAGGACATTCGCTAGTGATCGCTGACGGTCTGGGAACCAAGCCTCGGCGATTTTTGACGGCAGGACCAAGAAAAACGCCTGAGCGGAGGCCGCTATGATTGAACCTTGAACAGCAATCTTTAAAATGTCAATGCTAGGCGGATAAAAGATAGTTTTGTGGTAAGCTGTTGTATTTACCTTGCTGACTGATCTGTGCTTCCAAGTGCTTCCAACCTGGCTTACTAAAGTTACGCCTCGCTTCTCATTACCAGTTGTTTGTTCCCAATTCGGCCCCATATTTTTCTTCAACTACGACTTGGACGAAAGTGGTAGTCTACAGGTGGTCAAACTTTTTCGCAAATCTTAACCGCTGAGTTGCTCATCGTCAGGCTATGACACGGTATGGCCTGCTTAAAGGCAGTTGGCACGATAAATCCCCCAAGACGAGTAATTTGCCTGGCAGGACGGAATTCCGCGACCCTGAGCAGGCGCTGCATAATGCCTTTTCCAAGGGAGGTGCCTTATAAGGGCCCTATCAAGCCACAACATACCGACCCAAACGCCCGCCACGCCCGCCCGCTGCTGTGCTGCATGGATATATGAGTACACATATGCAGCCGTACCTTCGGTAGCGGTTATTGGCAAGATGCCTACGGGAAACTCGTCCAAAATTTTGAACACATTGAGAACGGAGGCTCTTTCTTCGCAAGATTTTGACCGTTTCACTCCGTTCTTTCGCCATTTCCCCACTAAACAACGCCCTACTAGCATTCTAGACCGAGCACCAAATCATCGTGGCAACTGCCTTTGAGAGTGGTAGTTCAAATGGTGACGGCATGTGTGCACTAAATTCAGAAAAATGCGCTCATCGTGAGCCCTCACGAATTTTTGTGACAATTCGAGGCAAGGTCGAGGCACAACTATAGGTCGGGTAGTTGTCTCATTGTAACAAAGGATTTCATTCTTCGTCACATCCGCTGGCGCATTCGCTTGGTGGAGGCACCAAATGTTGCTCTGAAGCCTGTACATATCCCCTTGTGAAGTCCTGTGAACTAAACCTGCCCACTTGTACCATTCTTGCAGCTTCATAGGAGTAACAACAGATCTCGTCGAAATCTCAGATCTCAGAGACCTGTTACTTGACATGAACTAACGAAAGGAATTAGCGGAAATGCCCCCTTAAGCCAAACTGCACCAACTCTTGTTTTCGTTGTACGTTACGCACATGTCGTACTTTTTGGGTGTATATTTAGCACTTCTTTGTTCCACTATCATCATGCTAATCTGTAATTCTAGTAACATTTTATTGGTTTTACTTCCTTTACACACTCTCTTTCCATATTTCTCTCTATCACCTATTCTCTTACTAGCTGTCAACACAGCAGTTTGTTAACACTTTCTTTAACTCCTTCTTCTTCTCTTTCTTTTACATAATCCTTGACGTTTTTCTTTTAATATCGGTTTCTTGAGCTTTCATATCGAAAGTTTTCAAAGCAGTAAGTGCAGAGAAGTAGTGTCTGACAGGAGAGGCGCACCTGTATGAAGCAGTGCCTGCCGAGTAGTAGAACTCTCGATTAACGGCACTGAAGAGGCCATTCGAACCAGTGAACCCACAAAGTTCAGTGTTGTACCACATATTATCTGGAACGAAAGATCACTGTACTCCACGCATCTTTACTGTCTCATCAGTCACACTCCTCTGCTTCAGTGATGAAGGTAAGTGTGGAAATTATTCTGTCGCTATGCAGGAATAACACGCAAAACAGCGACCCAAGATTTCCTAGATTTTTCTTTCGGAGCAGCTACCGTGATTAGATTCCTCACCATAATCGAAAGGGCGTTTATACAGTCGTCATCCTCGCGCCTGATAGGAACAATCGGAGGACGCGGACGCGGGTGAATGAGCGACCGCGTCAGGAGTAGCAAACTGTCGGCGGCGCGGGGCCAGCTACTATGCGTCCTCTCACTCCCTACGCGCTCGACACGCGCCGCATAGTACTCTGCCGCCTGCACGATGACGGCTATTGACGGCTGGCGCGGCGATCAGCTGATTATCGACTCGACGAAGCCGATTTTTCTTCAAAAATCGTCTTATTTCGGCCGGCTTTCGAGAAGGTGTGTTACTTTTTTTCTTTTCTTGATAAATTGTATTAGTGTCTTGCTTTTTTTGTTGGTTTGGTGTAATTTTTGTTGTTTTAAATGCTTTTTTCGCTATTGTTTTTGCATTTTCAGGTTTCGTCTGTTTTTTCCCCATTTCTTCCCCCTATTTGGCTTCTTTTTCATTACTGTGTCACTGATGTGTTCCTGTCTTTGCTGAGAACACTCTCTGACACGGTTTTGAAGACTAGAGCCGCTTTTACACCCGTGTTCTTCAAGCTGCCCGTAAAATTGCCGGCTGGTGAGTATTTCAATTTATTTTTTGTTTATTCTTTTTTTTTTGTATGATGTATTCTTCATTACTATACCATTGTTGTGTTCTGTGCTACGCGAAGAACACACTTTGGCATGGTTTTGGAGCTTGTGTTTTTTAAAATGAGCTTTTTTCATGAGTTGTGCTAGTGCCCGTTATTTAAGGCGGTCGGTGAGTGTTTCGCTCACGGAGCGCAATAGACGTGGTATACAAATCAGAAGTGAGTCGCCACACGTTGTGCCTCGGTAGCATAGTGGGTAGTGTTACAGAATATAGTATACGAGGTCAAAGGTTCGAATCCTTGGTGGACGTGCTCTTTTGCATTTTTTCAGCAGTGCTCTCTGAAAGGTTCAACACAGCCTAGCATTATCAGAAAATGCTATGAAGAGGGCTTTTCTTAACTGAGCCATTCTCGCCTTCAAAATGCAAAAGAGCACGTCCACCAAGGATTCGAACCTTTGACCTCGTATACTATATTCTGTAACACTACCCACTATGCTACCGAGGCACAACGTGTGGCGACTCACTTCTGATTTGTATACCACGTCTATTGCGCTCCGTGAGCGAAACACTCACCGACCGCCTTAAATAACGGGCACTAGCACAACTCATGAAAAAAAGCTCATTTTTAAAAAACACAAGCTCCAAAACCATGCCAAAGTGTGTTCTTCGCGTAGCACAGAACACAACAATGGTATAGTAATGAAGAATACATCATACAAAAAAAAGAATAAACAAAAAATAAATTGAAATACTCACCAGCCGGCAATTTTACGGGCAGCTTGAAGAACACGGGTGTAAAAGCGGCTCTAGTCTTCAAAACCGTGTCAGAGAGTGTTCTCAGCAAAGACAGGAACACATCCGTGACACAGTAATGAAAAGAAGCCAAACAGGGGGGACGAAATGGGGAAAAAACAGACGAAACCTGAAAACATAAAAACAATAGTGAAAAAAAGCATTTAAAACAGCAAAAACTACACCAAATCAACAAAAAAAGCAAGATACTAATACAATTTATCAAGTAAAGAAAGAAAAGTAACTTACCTTCCCGAAAACCGGCCGAAATAAGACGATTTTTGAAGAAAAATCGGCTTCGTCGAGTCGATAATCAGCTGATCGCCGCGCCAGCCGTCAATAGCCGTCATCGTGCAGGCGGCAGAGTACTATGCGGCGCGTGTCGAGCGCGTAGGGAGTGAGAGGACGCATAGTAGCTGGCCCCGCGCCGCCGACAGTTTGCTACTCCTGACGCGGTCGCTGATTCACCCGCGTCCGCGTCCTCCGATTGTTCCTATCAGGCGCGAGGATGACGACTGTATTTGGTTCACAAGCGACTCAAGGGACTTCTTTTGCTGTGTATAACTTCTTAAGGCACCTTTGCGATGATTCTGTGCACAAAGAGATCCTAGAGATTTGTTTTTATGTTTTGCACCATGCAGTGTTGCTACGTGGCCGTTACCTTTTGAGGCCTAGCACCCATACTCATTAAATGCCCTGTATATCTTCGCCGACAAATGACCCGCAACTACGTTCCTTCATTATTACAGGGGGTCCCAAAAAGGACACTTCGGCCGAGTCACATATTAGCAGTTTTCGCAGCCCAGATAGATACCAGGGATGTTCCTTCACAAGCAGGGGCAGGCTCTCGCCCACCACCTTAATGTACACCAAAATATGCAGTCATCTGCAGTTGCACAAGAACTTAAGAAAGAATATGGAATTCACGTCACCTCAAACAGCTGCGAAACTTCTTGTATGGAGTCACCCATGGACAGCTACCTGGGGACCGGCACTCTTGATCTGGAAGACCTCCAACATCGAGCAGCTCCGACAACGTCGCTACGGTCCAGGATATCATCTTCACCGCAGTCGCCAAGGCGCGAGTTGATGGTATGGACCGGAAGTTCCTGGAATGGAAGACCGATATTTTCTTCGTGGACCCCGGACTGAAGTGAACGCTGACGGTTACATCGACCAACTCGAGGAGAATATCCTGCCTTCATGTCGTCGCCTGTACCATCTTGGAAACTTCGTACTGCTACAGGATTGGGTGCCACCACATGGAATCGAAGGGCGTTGGAAAAACTCTCGCCTACTTGGAATGGAAGGGCGTTGAGTACCTGAAGAAGATGGAATATCTAAGCAGGTCACCTGACCTAAACCCCTCAATTACCCGGTTCGGGCGGAGCTCAACAGGGTGGTCTACAGTGGCGGAGAAATCAACGACCTCGCTGAACTCAGGCACCGAATCACGGTCGCGTGGCAGAATCTCTCGATGGCGCTCGTCCAGAAGGCTGTGAGTATCATGATAGTGACCACATGCTGTTGAATATGATGGTGGAAATGTCCAATCAGAATTCAGTAAAGTGTAACTTATATCGCCTTGAGTGTCGAGGAAGCAGCGTGTCTTTTTTTGGTCACCCTGTATGCCTGGTCCATGCGGCAGAGACGTATGTTAGATTGATGGGAAGCAACCATTGTTGAAACTCGCACCCTTCCCTGAACCAGCAAGCAGAATAGAGGCCCATTGTGTGGATTCATGACATTACTGCCGCCTTCTTTCCACCGCAACTTCATTTTTTCCTGCATTCTCAGTGAGAGCTGGTCATTCACAATCCTCAAAATAGAATTTACTGATGAAAAGAAATGCTTATGAACGGACCGATAATCGAATTCCATAGCTGTCAGTAATATACATGCCACCGATACCAGTGATTACAGCGACGAGCTGAAAACGGCATTCTTGACATTGAAACATGAGATTGTGGTGTGTATGTGGGTGGAAATACCCTTCACCAGTCTAAAGGATAACGTCGCAGTCAGTCGGGGTGGTGTCAGGAGGGGAGATATGGGCGGACGCGGATGAGCTTATTCTATCCCCAGTGGACTGATTGAAACGATATGTGGCGGATTTCTTCTTCATCCAGCCACAGGAAATCCCTAGAACTTCCTTTACAAAAGTGGTTCAGTGGGTTTAATTATTTATTAACAAGCTCTAACCAGTTATACCGAAATGGCTAGAGAACGGGCACTTAGCGTGCCGACTGTGTCGATGGTGCTATTGACAGTGCCCGTTAGAAGTAATGCGATGGGCGGGCCACCCTTCACATCTGGCCACCACATGGGTGGTCAGGCATGGTCGCGGGGAAGTGCGCGACACGATGTCTATTGCACTTTCCTCAGTGGTCCAGGTTTATTTCACATGCTATGCTCAAGCATGAGCACCAGTTAGGAATTTGATCAAATTTCAGCATGAACCTTTGAAATTCTGAACCACTTCGGAGATCCAGGGAGAATAAGCGAGCAGAAATCGTGGTGATTTGCATGGTTGGCATATCACGTTTATTGTTATCCAATTATTTGAAATACTATGTACTCACTTGGAATATTTGGTTAGTTATAAAAGCGGCGGAACACTCGGTCGTACTGCCATTGCAGTAGAATTCGCCGGTCTCCTCCGACAAAGTGATGTAGCTGAGCCAGAGCTGAAAAACGCAGTTTTGCTTTAGATATTACGTTAGATATTTCATCATCAATGAAGGAAATTTCATAGTTGATCCCGTTATTGCGATGTTTCGGTTCGACCAAAGAGGACACATTTCAAAGCACTGACGAGGTATGACAGTTGACCACAGCGCCTCAGCACTCAAATATAGACGTCTGAATTCTGACGTGACATCTAATTTCCTCACTGTAGCTGTGCTCATGCCGCAATACGGGCGACCTGGGTCGCATCCCGGTGACGATAATCAGGAAGATGAAAGACAGATTCTGAGGAATCCTCCAAAAAGGCAGGGAAGAGAAAAGAGCTAAAGAAAAATAAGGATGATTTCGAGTGAAAGGGAGTTTCTTTACCACTCTGTTCCATCGACGACTCTAAACAACCAGCACATTTCTTTGGAATGGCGTTCTCGAACGTACTACATTGAGCAATCAACATTTCCATGTGCAGTTTGAAAATGTCTGACAATTCATTGAAAGGCGCGCGACTTTGGTTCGTTCCAAGTATTTTTTTCACTGATTTAGGTAGCTGAATCAGAGTAATGAACGACCTAGTACAAGAGCTGAGCAGAAAGACGAAAACACGTTCCATACCCGTTCCTTCAACTACACGGTCCATCCAGCCCTGACCTCAGAGATTGGGATCGCGGCAGTTCGGCGACGGAGGGGGGAAGGAAGCACTTTGCAC